GTTCTATCAGAAATCTATACTGCACTATTGCGTCACTCTTTTAGGGTCTAGACTCCCACATAGTCTCATCAACATCAACTCTTTGTCCCAATCTCCACCTTTCTCTGAAGTTTGAGCAGCCTCATGGTTACCATGGCAACATGTTAGCAATAGCAGGTGCCAGAGGAGAGAGAGGCAACACAGAATCACCCCTCCCACCAAATCCTCCTCTCTACAAACACACTGAAATAGTTCACTTGGCGTACACATGAATGTGTTTCTGCTGGTGTTTCAACAGCAGCTGCACTGAGCAGCACAAAGAACAACGGAGGAGTTTCCAAGTAAACCAAGAGTTGGAGCACGCCATGCAAAAGGGTTGGGCATTTACACATGTGGAAAATAAATATCAGGTGTGTGTGAGGTGATTAATCATAATCTCAGCCAGTCACTACTGCTGACAGTAAAGCAAGTCAGGACATGCTGCTAGTTGCCACAGGAGCCTGTTTAAGGATCAGGAGAGTTCTTATTTCTGAAAAAATATCTTATTTGAACAAAACCAAATCCAGATAGATTGGAAAGAAGGCCTTGTTTCCACCAGCCGCTGCCACTTGTAAGTTAGGATTTTTTTTATCATAAAAATAGCATCCTCTGGACACAGTCCAAAGAATCCTCAGAATGTCTATCTCCAGGGAATATTTAAAATGCCTAAATAAAAAACAATTCAAACAGAGAAATATGTCCTCGGCTGAACTGTGAAAATGCTACACAGCTCTGCAGTTAAATGATTTGAATGTATTAATGATGAAACATCAAAAAAAAATACAAGATGTGTAACACAGCCCATACTGTATACACATTGCATTTCATTCAATTTTCTTTTTACTTTTGAATTGAAATGTTCCACATACCTGCTACATGTGAAACCAAAAATAACATATAAAAGCAGTCTGTCGGCAGGCCTATTTTAATACCAACATATTGTATAACTCAAATCCCTTCACCTTTGCGTGATTCAGATTGTAAAGGGAACAAAGATAGTAAACACATAAGCAAAGCGCCAACAGCTAATGTTCATGCATGGCTGAAAACAAAGCCCCATGTGTGTCAGTGAACACGTTCAGCTCAGCATGTCGGACCCAGACCCAGCTTCAGTTAGAGCTGAGGAAAAGAGTATTACCAAGATGAGAGCTGTCAGCATGTTTAATCAGAACCGCCTGTCGGATGGTCAAGTGGCTGCAGAACCGACTTAAAATAATGGGGCTATGATCGACCATTTTTTTTACTTTCAGAAGCTGACATTCACCAATATTGACCAGCTATTTGGAAGACAGAAAGTAAGCAGGGTTTCTCTCTCATGCTTTCTCTTTTTTTTTCTTAACACAACTTTCCATGTGAACAATTAAATGCAAAGCTATGAATGTGTAGGTGGGGAGGTCTGAAAAAGTATGTATACCCCAACAACTTTGCATATTGCATTGACAAAATAAAATGTGAACCCGATGATGGTTCTACGGAGAAAGTCAGGGCATCACCAACGTCAGTAGGATGCATCTTCCAGAAAACATGGAACTATTGCATGGTAATCCATCCTCTAGTTGCTGACATTTTTCAGTCTGCACCAAAGCAGTAGACCACTTGACTAACAAACATTGCCAATCCTTAAGCCATCCCACCGAATGTGGGTTAAAACCTGTTAATAGATACTAAACAACCAGCAGTACTAGCTTTGAGTGCAATACAGGACTGCACACGACCCAGTCCAACAGTGCTGCAATAAACACTACCTCCATAAATTATATAATGTTTTATTTTTGTTCAAACGTTTTGCTGTAAGGTGTTCTTGGCATTTGTCCACTCTGTAGATCTCCACAGGGCGCATGTGGAGAAACAATGGATTTCAGAGTGACACGCACCATGTATCACATGACCATGGTTATATTTTCCACATTAGCCAATTGTTAAGAGACAATACTCAAGCGTGCGAACAAACAAACAGGAACGGCTGTCGTCTCATACCTGAGCATCTCTAACACTGTAGCTTATACATTTTTGGTTGATGTCAACTATGAATATCACAAGTGCAGATATATATTTACACTTCACTGAATCACACAGTATGACATGAGCTGCATATACGGGTTATGCACACAGTCAAAAATACATAAAGAATCAATGGCAGCTATATTTAAAGTCAACCTACAACCTACATCAGAGAGCTTTACCTAACATTTTTTGTAACTTTCTGTATAAGAATGCCTTCTTACCGTTATGCAGGCGCTCTGTGTGCGAGGGTATCTATGAGTCGTTCCACCTGCCTGCTGTCACTGTGGATCTAGGGCATTACCTGGAGTCAGGTGTCAGATGCAGTGAAGACAAAGTTGTGTGTGTGAGCAAGTGTGTATGCGTGTGTGTTTGTGTGTGGGGGTGTGCAAGAAAGTGACAGGGAAAACATCCCTTAATATTCTCATATTGATTCAAATGTGATTGCAGTTCTAAAAGACGCATACTCTGGAGAAGTGGTGACGGTGTGGGTTCATGACGCGTGTTGGAGTGAAGCACATGTACTGTCAGAGGGGAGGAGGTGTGTCAGCGAGGCAGAGTGAGCGCTGAGCGAGGAGAGATGGGCGTTCTCCTGTGTCTGTTAGTTAGTGCTGCTGTGCTGAGGAGGCACAAAGTGACACTTTGTTTCCCCCGCCAGATAGTCAGTGCAGGAGAACAGACTGGCATTCATCATTTCCTCTGGCTGATGCACAGAGGCTTTCATTGTGGGTCAACAGTAACCGCGTATGCACATGTGTGATTACAATAGTCTTTAACGGTGCACCACAACTGCTTATTAATACAAGGGTCATAAATGTATGTAATTGTCTTACAGTGATTAGTATTTTACAGCATTCAACATTAAGTCAAAATAGCTTAGTTCCTTGACTGTGGCAGCCTTAATATCATCTTAATTTTTCTTATTGGATGTGTAATAAGGACAGCTCCCCCACTCCCTAGTTTTGGCAGATTCACACTGCAGCCTCAAAGGGATATGGTAATGATGGGGCTTCACCAACCTGGAAGCTGCCTATATTACAGCAGCATCGCACTTCAAAGACAGACTGCATGCTCCTCTGACTGACTGTGTGCAGAAATAGAAACCCCCAGTATAAGCAGCATAAACAAACTCTCACTAAGATATTCACATCCATATATATTCACACATAGGATAAGCAGAGTCATAATGACTTCACTTCAAGAGGCCACGATCAAACACTTCCTGCTATGCTCAATGACACTGTAGCAGCCACAGCACTAGCCCTATATGGTAAACCATTTAGAATATTAAGGTCATAATATGTTCACATATTTCATACCATAAATAGTTTTTAATTATTTCATGGTTAAATGTAGAGGGTTTTCATTTTGCAGTGATGTTAAATAGAAACATACACCACGTTCAAAGGCAATCATCACAGTATTGCTGGTTTGATCCAATTCCTGGTTATTTACGATAAACACTGGAATAATGTGGGTGACCTACGGTATGTGCCTTAAATACATAATTGACATCTTGATATCAGCATCAATTGTAATGGAATACATACTGCATAGAGCATTATTAAACACAGTTTTAAATGATAATCACGCATGTTATTAGGCCAATGCATCACAACATGAGCACTTGTACTTTTTGTACAAAGTACATTTCAGTTCCATTTAATTTTGAAGGCAAGTGTTTTATTTTTAACAAGCCGGGAGTTTCCATTCCTGTTGTCAAATATGCAGCTATTGAAAATCAATTGACATTTAAACACACAGAAAACAATGAAACAGGCAGTGTTTGCCTGCCTCGTGGTGATTAAATCAAATCCATAGTTGCAGCTTTATCTGAGGTCAAAGGGTGTTAAATGACTCAAGTAAAATAGATGCTGTATTGCATTGCGAAAGCACTTCACAGATGTTTCTGAAAAAGTGTAGGCTAGTCCCCATCTGGGTGGTGATGACATGCTTATTTTGCAGCTCAGTGCATCTGAGAATCTAAACCTTTAGGATGAATATGAAGCTGGACATTGCAGTACTTTATAAAACACTACTCTTGAACCAGTGACGTAGTCTTTACTATGAGATCTCTTCCCTATTTCTCCTGCAAAATACAGACCCGGATGACAGCTCTGTGTCTTAATATGTCATCCATCAGCACATAAACACCTAAGATCACAGATTATAGCTAAAATACCACATTCTTGCCTGTAGGGCAGACAATCAAAAAATGAAACAGATCAATTGACTCAAACCAGCACCATAAATCCAACACCAGCAGCCTATGAATTCATTTCTGGCAAACTGCCATCTATTCCCCATGTCTGTATGTCTCAGCACAATAGTCCACTGATGATGACAGTAATGCAGCAATGATTTAAAAGCCTTCACATTGCCCGTGGAAATATAAAGCCATAATATCATTTTTCGCACATTCAGGCCCGCAGCATATGGCCTGTGCATGGTTCTCCAGCTGACACAGATATCCTGTCATTTCTAAGGCTGTATTGTGTGTCATTTGGAGAAAGCCACGGTTCGCTGTTGTGGAACACTACATCAACATGGACCTAAAGGCACGGATCAATACGTAACCGTTAATGGCAGATTAGTGTATGCATGCCGCACAGGGATTACAGTATTAATTGCAGAATAAAAGACGCACTGAGAACAAAGAATCTGGCCTTTGCTTTATCATATTGACACATATGAAATCCATACAGCCTTCAATTGATGTGCATTATTTACTAACGATTAATTACAATTTTGGCTTGTTGACATCGGCGTTTGCGCATTTCAAATCGGATGAAATTGCAAGTCCCAGCCCTTTACTGCGCGCACACATACACACATCTGTGAAGGATGGAGCAGAAGATGCGATCGGGTCAATGCGAGATGAGAGGTGCGATATGTGACAAGGTCATCAGCGTCGTGAAAATGGAAGACAATCAGCATAAAAGACAAACAATATGGAAGAAAAGAGGGAAAAATCCCAGCACCTTTTTTCCCAACGCGATGCCTCCTTGTGATCGCTGAGGTAAAGCTCCGGCAGCTCCGACCCTTTTGTGTTGCTGATGCTGCGGGTGCCCGACAGGGAGACTCACGCACAGTCAGTCCCGATGGAGAAGGGAGGGTGTGGCTGCGAGAGAAAAGCGAGGGTCGGCGGAACAGAGACTCAGTGAGCTCCCGTCACGATGCGAGCACGCTACTCTAACGTAAGCTCGTGCTTTTCGGAAGTAATTAAAGAAAGGAGGAGATGAATGAGAAAGATCCAACTACATTGTTGCAGGCAGCTGAGGATATACTGTAAAACATACAAAGAGGACATTAATTCACACCAACTGGCTGACAAATGGGTTGACCTGAGTATAGTGTTCTTAATAATTCATGGTTTTAAGGAAGAGATTGATTTTAAATGAATAATTACTGGAGAAGAATCTCCATTTAGGTCTTGTTGTCTTCATACATTAGAGATATTAAAAGCTGCCACATTAGTCGGTTAACCGATCAATACAACATTTATCGAGAATAACTATTCTATAGCCTATATTTGTCAACTCAGAATGTCATTTGGGTAACTTTTCTATAATTTATATAATTGTCAACTGCAGGGGCTACTGAACTGATTATGAACTAATGGTTGAACAAAACAGGAGATGTGAAGCTTTCTGGCTGACATTATAAAGACCAAACGATTAAAGGACACCTATCATGCTATATTTAAATGATATATTGTAGGGCCATACCTATATAAGGTATATTTATACGTTTCTGTTTTCAAAATACCAAACAGATCATGCATTTTAGCCATGCCTCATTTCGCTCTATGTGCTGTTTGCTGTCTACGGGCTGATTCTGTGAGCTGCAGCTGACCACGCCCCCCTGCAGGAGAGGGGAACTGTGCTCTGATCAAGTCAAGAGGGGGAGAAAAAAAGATCTCCGTCCTCCGTGTTTTATTATATTATAATAGGCCTATAGAGTCGTTATTCATTTGTTTTAAAGCTCACTAAATAACAAAGAAGACCTTTGACCGGCACTTTTCAAATTTTGTCCGGAAGATTTAAACTTTAACGGACATCTTGACCGGCGAAAGAAACTGAAACTGAAACTCTGCCGCACGGTCCCCTCGTTCCTTGGAAGAGGCGGAGAGGTGGGTGTTTGTCATCTGCTGGTGGACTAACCGGAGAGAATTACAGTGCTTGCCTCGACGGGGAGGGATTGCATTGAATTAAAGCAGCGGGAGCAAACGCTTGCCTCGGGGAGGGAGAAAAAAAAGCCACAGCGGAGAATAAACAGAAGGGTAGCCATCGTAACTATGGGCGGGAAGTCTTCTTCGCTGCTTTTGTGGCAGACTACAGCGCCACTTACAGGCCTGGCATATGTACTACAGCGTCTCCAGCGCTTTCGAGCGGCAATGGCCGGCCGTGGCCCAACCCCACATTCCCCTGATAGGTGGAGAGTTGGCCTAATAGCCGTAGCGCCACTTCTGTGACGACATAGAAGTGTTCAAATCTGGATCAGTCTGTATCAGATCCGTTGCAGCCCCTTTTTTTAGAGATTTGGGTATGGAGGAAAATAGAGAGGGTTGTGCTTTCTGACACTTGGTGAGTTCCCTGGAACACCGGGGACACATATTCATGTATAAAAGACGTACAAAAGTGCATTTTGCATGATAGGTCCCCTTTAAATAAAGATTGGTAAACTTTGTGTTGCAGCCCCAAGTTATCTATATCCAAAACAAAGCAGTCTTCCTAATTTAGAAATCTCTTCATGAAAGGTCTGACTGAATCGTTTGAAAACATCTGAATATTATCAGTATGGTGGGTAATTTCCAAACCTGAAAGTTTGGTTTAGCTTCTCAGTAAACTTGCTTGCAGGCTATAACATGCAGGCATGACAACAGAAAACTGTGATGAGACCTTTTTAACACATGCAAAGACTTAGGTATTTCCTTTATTTGGTGCACATTTCATGTTAATGAAGATAAATAAACGGTTCCAGGAAGTGACCAAAGGATTAAAATACAGGGGGCACTGAACCGTGGGAGGATTTTATTTTGAAACTTTTAACAGGACGTCTTAAAATGATGGTTCTGGTTAGCTTGGCATTAGTTTCCAAAGTTAAAGATACAATTATAAAACGAAATATTATGGGAAGCAGACACACAACGTTTTCTAGACAAATTGTTAAGCAATCTTTGTCTTTGGGGATTTGTGTTAATCAAAGAAAATGCTCTTCAACACGATTTTATTTTGAAAGGTCATACGGAAATTGCTATTTTTTACTCTCAAACTTTACCCGTTTTAAATTAACTATGGGTACGTGGTAGGTGACCAAGGGTTTGTTTTCTCACGTAGTAACATTAGTTATCCGTCGACTTTAAAAGGCTACGAGGTATTGAACACACCAGCCGGACACACTATGCTTCCTCGCAGGCAGGACTTCGGGATGAAGAAGTCTGGAGGACCGCGAAACAGCTCGGTTATAAACTTTAGGACCACGGTGATCCCGGGCTCGGTCCGCCGGAGCTCCGCGGTGCTTCCTTCGGTCCTTACCTTCCTGGTGATCGTAGCCTCCGGAGGCCTGCTGCTCATGATAGAGAAAGGAATGCTGAGCAGCATGGAGACACCTCCACCGCGGGGGGCCGGGAAGCGACAGGACTTCATGCGGCAGGTCGGGAGGCTCAGCCCGGGTGCTGAGGACGTGGACTCGCAGGTACAGTATGCAGTGGCTCCCTAGGTTTATGGACAGAGGCACCCTCACAGCATTCAAGTACCCCTCCATCGATTTCTATTGCATGTTCAAAATACACAAAACTCATCAATATATTTAAGTTTTTTTTTTGTAGTTACCGGTTTAAACTTCAGCGCTAGCTTGCCTTAATTCGCAGACTCATAACTGCCATATGAAGTGTTCAGCTGATTGAATATAGTGTGTTGGTACTTGTGGGTTATCTGTCGCCACTTTTTTGTTTTTTTCTGACTCTAAATACGCACCTTTTTTGTTTTTTTTCAGTCTCTCTAAATAACCCTAACCCCTAGGATTAATGTTTGTTATTTTGAGAAAAAGTTCATGTGGAGGAGCCAGCTTCCCGCTATTAAAAAGTAGACAGATAACCCACAAGTAGGCCTACCAGTTTTTTAAATTTTATTAATCAAGCCACTTTTTTCACCTTTTCCAAGTTTGTTAGGTGGAGTGTGTGACGTGTGAATAGGTCTAGTGTTGCCTGAGGCGATTTGATTAATCTTGTGACTGTACATTGCATAATATCACTGTAGGATTAAGGCTCTACACAGCTTTTTTGTTTGTGATGCCATGGTGGGAAAAAAACAATTTCAGTTGGTGATCAAAGGGAAAACCATAAGGCACTTTGCTAAAATGTTCCGATTTGTTATTGTTCTAATCAAAAACACATGTGCTTTTTATGGTGATCTTAAAAAATCCTGCAAGCCATAAAAGCTGGACCAAAAGGCTACAATTGGTGAAACCGCTGATCTTACATGTGTAAAGAAGTGGGTATATTGTTTTTTAACTAGTCTGGCCATTTTCAAACATCTGGTCACTTTAAAAGGGGCAGCAGAGGCCAAGATATTCTGTTTTTTTCCCCATGATTCAACTTTATAGTCTTTTCATGAGACTCTCATAAAGACCCATATCTTATAAATGCCACATCATAAGCTTGTATGCAGGCTTTGTATTATAACATTTTACATTTACAAGCCCAAAATTAGATTACCTTGATGAAATCACGATGACACAATCAGGGGGATTTTATCAGATGTCTTGATGTTATACAGCTCTTTCGACAGGCTGAATAATACAAACTCGGACTAGTTAACTGCTGTTGATCTGTAAAATTGTCACTGTTTTGTGTTCACGCTTAGATCCTTCAAGAGATCCGTAACCGGACCATCAGGTCTATGTGCAGCCAGAAGAACATGCCGCACAGCATCATGTCCCTCACCCCCCTGCAGAGGAAGACGCTGCTGCAGCACATCCTGGTGAACGATCAGTACCACTTCCTGTACTGCTACGTCCCCAAGGTAGCCTGCTCCAACTGGAAGAGGGTCCTGAAGGTTCTGAACGGGGTTCTGGAGAGTGTGGACGTCAGCATCAAGATGGACCACCGCAGCGACCTGCAGTTTTTGTCCTCTTTTAAACCCGAGCAGATCCAATATCGCCTCAAGCACTACTTCAAGTTCATGTTTGTGCGGGAGCCAATGGAGCGCTTGCTTTCTGCATACAGGAACAAATTTGGAGAGATCGAGTCCTACCAGAAAAAGTATGGCGTGGAGATCGTAAAGCGGTACAGGAAAACTCGCGCTAAGGACGCGCCGGTTAAAGGAGATGATGTGACGTTTGCAGAGTTTGTTCGTTACTTGCTGGACACGGACGCAGAGCGCATGAATGAGCACTGGATGCCGGTGTACAACTTATGCCAACCCTGTGCCGTGTCCTATGACTTCATCGGCTCCTATGAGCACCTTGAAAGGGATTCTGAGTTTGTGCTCCAGCGCATTGGAGCGCCTCCTCATGTTCGCTTCCCTGAGAGGCAAACGTGGTACAAGCCGGTCACCACGGAGACGTTACATTATTATCTGTGCACGTTACCACAGAAGCTACTGAGGGAACTCCTGCCCAAATACATTTTAGACTTTTCCCTCTTTGCTTATCATCTCCCCAACACAACCACTGAACACTGCCGGCATTAAATGTGCAATGTTTCATAGTTTTGAGAGAACTTTTTATAGAGCATTATTTTTTACTATTTGTATTACTAGGGAAGAAACAGTATTTTAATAGTTGTTACACATTTTGACTTGAGATGTTCCAATATCATCGCAGTATGCAGATTATTGGTCTTAACTTCAGAACCACTAAAGCTTGAAATTAGCTGAAGACAAAGAAACATATGAACCGATTTTGTTCCATTTCAACATGTTCCTGTCATGCACTGTTACAGTAAATGAACCAATTCAGTATATATTGATGCAGTTGTAAATAAGGTTGCCAGACCAAACTTTGCCTTTCCTTCTTCTACACTATTGGAGAAGCTAAAGGGTTAACAGCTTATGTGGGCCTTCAGTGGTTTAGCAGGCTAAAACACGAACTATTTGCCCACCGAGTTGTGGGTTTAAATCAAGCTTTGTGTGTTTTCGTTCTACGTCGACCTCTCCTCCACAATCTGTCCCCCACCTTTACCAACACTTTGGACTGTTTACCCTGTTATTAAACAGAAATTGAATTTTAGTGATGTACATTACTGCACATTTCTGTGATTTTGTATTTCTTTATTTTAGGAATAATTTAATAATTTAAACATTGTTAAAAAAAAACATGAATATAAAGCATAATACACATAACCACAGGGTTGTATTTTGCTACATGTGTGACGCTGGAGTCGTTGACAACCAAATTGATTTCAGAAAAACAGTTTTGAAGCTAAATCCACATTTTTACCAATGACTGTGTAACGTACTGACAGAGATGACTGCATCCAGTATTGTAAGTGGAGTCAATCAGTGGTTGGATATTTACATAGAAAAAAAGTAACATAATGTTTGAATGTTATCACTGTTACTAGTTTAAGTTAAATTGAACACTTAAAGCCGCTACTTACAAAGACCTTCACAATTCATTCACAGCTTCTAGTGGTTTCTAACTCACTCATCAAGTTGTTATTTATCTGTCTCTGTAGTTGTGGAATCTTTGAAGCTCACACTTCTGGAAAGAGAAAGAAAGAGGAATGGTGAAATAAGGAAGATGGTTTTTTTTTTTTAGATTTGTTATGGCTCATCATTCTTTTTTTATAATCAAAGAACATTGCTTCCTGTCTAACATGGACAAACACCAGCTTATTACCAGAATCTAACACAAAACAATGAGCCCTATTAAAAGCCATATCATTTTCATTTTCAAGACTCACTTGTCTGCCGACTTGTCGGTGGAGCGGCTTAGACTCCGCAGGATGGAGCGCTCTGGAGAGGTGTGGTGAGAGCTGGAGGTGACGTTGAGGGAGGAGAACGACAAACCCTGCCGGCGCATCTCCTGAACTGCCCGCTCTCTGTTGACACAGCCACAGTTAGGCAATCTTTACATGTTTAATATGTGCCTAGGCTTGTGGTTACATTCTTCTGACCGCAACCTCAAACAAGTCAGACAACAATTTGAAAACATCGCCTCAGGCTCGGACATCATTATTAGTTTCACTTTTATTTCCAGATACTCCAAAAGTAGTATACCTGTTTTATTGTCACCAAACTTGTATCAAGAAATGTTCAGTTTCCAAGAGGACACTTTTTGCTGTTTCACAGATAATGGAAAACTTTCAGTAGTGTCCCCAACATCCTGATAATATCCTTATATTCTCGCTCAGAGATCAAGCGTACATTTTTTGTCTGTGCAGCCTACTCAAAGTAAAAAGAAACTAGTCAAATATTCTGAAAAAAAAAAAGGTTTGTCGCATCAGTTATGCTATTTATGTAATTGCAAGTCTATAGCATCCATTATTTACTGAAATACATTAAGTCAAAAAGCTAATATAAAAACCCTGATGACAGATCTAATTTGTTTCAAACTACCAGCTTTGGGTACTCTCCATTAAATATTGAAGTGCTGGCAGTTGAAAAGTCAGCTCACCGTTCAAAGCGCTCAGAGGTCAACTGTCTTTTCAGAACGTCCATCTCCGTCTGCAGCTGAGAGACTTTGCTGCGGAGCTGCGCCACCTCCCTGGCATGCTCCGCACTGAGTGCACACACACACGAAAACAAATCAGAATCAACAGCTTGTAAAATAAAAGAGGCATTGATTCAAGTCTTGGAGTTCAAGTCAACATATTCAAAAGGACTTGTTTACGTTTTGCAGTCAGCCAGAGTCAGCCTGTCGCGCAGGACCTTTATATCTGACTCCCTCTCACTGGCTGTCAGGTGGGTTTGGAACTCCTTTTGCCGATTGCTGGAGAGAAGAGTCTCAAGGTTACGGACAGTCAGCCTCTCACTGGCCATCTGTTTCCTCAGGACCTCTGCCTCCGACTTCACATCCTCCAGTTCTCCTGTGACCTAGAAAACATACAGGTTTATTTTCAGAAAGCTTAAACATCTGCTACTGCTCACCTTCACGGATAACCTACACCTGGATGCAACAATAAGTCCGCAGCGGGACTCACCCTCTCCAGGTCCATGCTCCGGGAGGTGAGCTGGCGGGAAGTGAGCTCCTTGCCAGAGTCCAGTTTGACACACAGCTCCCTGACCGATGCCAGGTCAGAGAGGAGCGCGGCCTTCTCCTCCTGTGCTGAGAGCAGCTCCTCCTCAAGTCGGGACATCCCACGCACCAGAGACGACACTTGGGCCTCGTAAGCCTGCAGGGCCTGCGTGTGCTGGGGAAACGGCAGATGGAAAGGAACATTCATCTTAACATTTGTTCTTGTTCCTGATTCTGTGGTGGTATGAAGACTACCACCACTGAATTGTTTACTATCTAGCATAATATCTTAGTGTGGCAGCGGGGTGTGGTTAGAGCGCCGGCTGCTGGAGTGATGGGAGTGGCTCGGCTCCTTCTCCTTCTGTCCTTTTTAACCTGGGTGTGAGCGGAGGGGCTTACAGTGGCGCCCGAACAAGGACAGGACAGAAGGAGACGGATTCAGGGAATAACTTAAGTTTATTGTCCAACAAAACAAAAATAACAGCCAGCTCCAAAAAGGGCACGAAGCGGTGCGGTGGCCTAATCAGGTGTGTTCCGCGGCCAAGAAGTCCTCCCAGGACCCAGTCTACTGCAAGAGAGACCAGAACCAGGTTACCAACATGCTTTTGTTGAGTGGCTTATTACCTGATTCTGATCAGCTGTCTGGTCTCCGGCCGAGCCACTCCCATCACTCCAGCAGCCGGCGCTTTAACCACACTTAGCTTGCCTGCCTAATTATATTCCACTTTTTTTCTGATATAATTCATGTATAGGAGCATTCTTATGACGTGTATACACCGCAAAGAAAATATGTGACCCGCACTATCGAAATCAGTCGGAAGTCGCAACGGCTCATTTAAAAAATAAACGTGGAATTGTGTAAAAAAATAGTTTTTCGGGGTTCGGGTGTTTTGTTTGATTTTAAACAAACAAAGCCTTGGCTTTCAGAATATGAAACTTTTATTTCCAAAATCACACGATAAATACATGTTTGAAGCTTGTAAAGGGAAGATGACAGCTCTCACTCGCACCCTGCTCTTCCGCAGCGTCGCTCCCCCTCCCTCCGGCTGAAATTATGAATGTAAGGCATATAGTAATCATAGATAACACGGCAGGGTCCGTTACAGTTTGTTATCATCTGATTTCAATTAAACAAAGTCTTGGCTTTCAGAATATTAAACTTGTTTCGGCAAATTCAGATGATAAATACAACTTTGAAAGCTTGTAACGGCATATTTACAAGCGGAGAACGGAGTAACTTGACGTCACAACAGCCGGTGTTTCTCGTGAGTGTTTTCTCCGGGAAACAAACACAATACACACACACACACGTATACACACACACACACTCGCGAGCTTCCCCCAGACCAGTAATCCAAACGAAAATATCTTCCCTCCGTAGTATTTTGATCATTTGCTAATAATCAATCAGATCGATGGATTCCAGAGAAGAGGAAACTTTGAAGGCCTTTTTCTCAAAATGATGACTCGGTGACAGTCATTATATAATGTGACATATTTTGCGTACAAAAACAACCCTGATATCATTAGAAAGCTAGGAATCTCCTCTTTCCAACAGTGTATACAACTCAAAATGTGTCTTCGGGTCAATGCGACTGATTTCGATGGAGCAGGTCACATATGTGTCTCAATTCCATATATACATAGAAATTGTAGCATACCTCTTCTTCCCTTTAAGTTGACCTTGAATGGCTGTTGTTATTACGCATGCTATATCTCACCTGCTGGATTTCTCTCCCCTGGTGGCCGACAGTTTCTCGGAGGTGTCTGCGCTCTGTGTCCGAGGAGAGCAGCTCCAGGCGGATGGAGTTGTTTTGGCCTTCAGCATGCTGCAGCTTCTGCTCCCGCTCCTCCACGTCAGAGTGGGCCATCCTGAAGCGATCCAGCAGGTCCCTGTTCTCCTGCTCCTGAGGGTCCACCAATCACAGTCAATTAGCAGACAGAAGAAGGTGTATAAGATGAGGCGTGAATCTGCTACAGGAGTGTTGTTTTTACCTTTGCAGCCATCAGCTTTTCTATTCTGGACACCTCAGAGATGTAAGAGTGGACTCTTATCTTCAGCTCATCTTTCTCATGCAGAGCCTCCTCCATCTCCATATGTACAGCCTGCACAAACGCAACAGTGGCTGCTGTTATTTCCTTCTTTTCTTTGTATACAAAACAACGTCAGTGTGTTTTCCTACATACTTGGTTCTCCCTGGTCATTGTCGCCAGGTCCTCCTGCAGCCTCCTGTTCTCTCTGATCGTGATTTCTTTGTTTCTCCTGAGTCCATCCAGCTCCTCCTGACAGGCATCCAGCTGTCTCCTCAGGCTGGTTATCTCCCTCTCACGACTGTTTAGCGCCCCCTGCAGCTGACTGCGCCAACATCACATGTTAAATATCAGCTAAATAAAGGGACTTGTTTAGTTGTATTTAAAAACCAATGCAGAAAGAGACAACAATACTTACGCTAGTGAGTTGTCCATGTTTGTCACTGTGAGTCTCACTTCTTCAAGAGTCTGTTCCTGTGTAAATAATCAAGCCTTATTAGTACTTAGCACAGCTCTCTATCTTTTAAAACATTATGTTAATTTGTTTTAAAGTCTATCATCATACAATCCTCACTAGTCAATATGTGCATTGAAGAAATCACTTTATAATATTTTCTGGGGTCCATACTGGCTGTGAAGAGCTCCTTTAATGTTATCCAATGTAAATGATGGAGGACAAAATCCACAGACTTGGTTCCATGCAAATTATGTATGTCCTAAAAAAGGCTTCAAGATTCAAAGTTGGTCACATGTCATGTATGGTTAATTTGGTGCAAAATGTACTTTCCTTTTGTTTACCTTAACAGGAACAAAAAGGGTAAATACAGAACTAAGATCCAGCAACTTTGTAAAATAGCCACTTGATTTGACAAACAACTCCTACCTCATATTTAATCATTGTTTGCATAGAAAGAGGACTGTGTATGTTGTCCCCTCCTCCCTTACTGTACATTTGAAATGCTTTAGGGGGAGACCTTTATATAGCCACTTCGAACAGGAGAGATTATTGTTAATATGGG